AATTCATGTTTAACCATGTTTCATATCTCACATTAGTGTTGTTATTAGTTAGATATTGTTAATGGTTGCAATACATATATGTATAGTTATCCTATCAATGGAATCATTCACTGACCTTGTATACTGAAGTTTCATTGGAAGGTATGCCCGAAAGTTAAGAAAGCTAATATTTGAATTGATGGATTTGTTGCGATTGCTTGATGGACTATGAGTCTGTTAGGGATTGGCTTGAGCAAGAAGGAAGGACTGGGTAGCATTAAATTCAATGTGGGTTATGGGTTTCTTTCTCATTCCACTGATTGCTACATACGCAATTCTACAATGATCAATCATGGTAAAATATCTTCTGCATCTCAATTATGGAAAAGAGTTGTTGTGTTAACTTTCTTTTTTTTTTCTTTTTTTTTTCTCTTCTCTTGCAGGCTTACAGTTTAAGTATGATTCCATCATGGAGTTTTTAAGGGAACCTCAAGGTTGTGGATGAATCCACTTTGAAATAAATGAGAAGCAGATTAAAATTTTTAGCAAAATGTAGGGCCTCAGAGATCAAATGAAGATTTATATACTAGCGTGGTTTTATTGCAAACATAAGTAATTGATTCTACTTAAGGTCTACGTTTAACTCTCTACCTAGGGACCCGGCTGAGATCCCTTGGGCGATTATGGGGCTAAGTTATTGTTGAATCTTCTGGGGTCTTCACAACAACTAACAAGGCTTCAGCTCACATAAAGGTTGTTCTGAATTTTTGACACTATTTTTTTTTTAGTTCATTGCTATCTTTTTAACTCTCATACATTATGTAGAATTTGATAGTGGTTAACTAAAATTACACTGCAAACATTGGTAAAGTTATGATATTGATAAACTTATGTGACATTAACTTAGGTAGGGAATTTGAAGGGATGAATTTGATGAGGTGGCAATGGGAAGAGTGAAACCGAGAGACAACAGTGTGGTGAAGGAAGGGATTTTACCATTTGAAGGTTTCTATGTTTTTGGTGTTTGGAGGATCAATATCCAAGATTGAGTTGTTGTTGGTTGTCCTCGGGATAAACTGTTATGAGAAAGTGTTTGGTTGAAATTGGTGAGTTGTGGTGCTGACCATTGTAATGTTATTGGATTGACCCTAAGAAGTAGTTACTACAATTTGACCTTAGATGCTGATTGTGTAGTACGGTAAGTAGTATGTAACTTGAAATCATAACTTTAAACTAGGGAATTGAAGTTCAATTGATAATATGTGAGATACTTGCTTTTCTACTCCATCAATTTGTTTTGGTTTGGTGCTGCAGTACATTCTGTGAACTTTCAGGAGTACTCTTCTTTTTTGTTGCTATTTCATAAGTTTTTGTCACATTGTATACCCCAGATAATCATAATTATGTAATATTTAGTTTCTTGCTTGACTTATTGATTATGCATTGAATTGATGGCAGGAAAAAATGATACATTCATGCAACAATGCTTGAAGAAGCGCTCATCTTACTTGAAGGAGCAGAAGCAGAGTTAAGGCGTATAGTGCAACAAAAAAAAAAAAGATTAAATAGTTGGAGAAGCAACTCATCTTATTTTATCAACAAAACCAGAAAATAAAAATGCTTGAAGAACAACATTTTCAAATGTTGGAGATGCAGAAATATAAAACAATTATTTTGTTGATGTTGAATGTATAATATTAAACGAAATGCTTGAATGTATAATATTAAACGAAACAGAGAACAAAATATAAGAAACCAAATTTGGTATACCTTTTGGATTTCACATTCAGCGTCTAAAATAATTAGAATTAACCACTAAATTTTGGTCACCAAAAAATACATTCGTCTACTAATAAAATAGTCGCGAAAATTTTTTGGATTTCACATTCAGCGTCTAAAATGATTATAATTAACTACTAAATTTTGGTTATCAAAAGTTACATTCAGCCACTAATAAAATAGTCGCGAAAACCGTTTGGATTCTACATTCAGCGTCTAAAAGTATTACAATTAACCACTAAATTTTGGTCACTAAAAGATACATTCGTCGACTAATAAAATAGTTGCGAAAATCTTTTACGAAATTACCCTTACGCTTTTGGCGTCTAATTTTTGTGGGATTCGCGACAAATTATTAGACACTAAAACGTACGTTTTGCAACTAATTGATTAGTCGTTATACAATTTTACCAAATTACCCTTGAACTTTTAACGTCTAAGTTGGGGACTAATTTGACCAGTATTTAGCGACTATTTTGTTAGTCGCAAAAAAAAAACTTTTCGCGTCTAAACCAAAATTTAGACGCGCTATGAATCTGCGACCAGCCTACTACAACTAAGGGGCGACTACCAAATTTAGACGCTAAAAATAGCTTAGCGTCTAAATGTGACTTTCTGCGTCTAATTTTGCTAGACGCAGAATGCCAATTTTCTTATAGTGAGAAGTTCGGTTGAATATTTTATTATTTGTTTATCTATTGATTTTACAGAATGAAGTTATTCTTCTTTTTATACTTAATTCCAACTCATTTATATCTAGGCTTCCTATAGAGACAAAATAAAGAGATGAACATATAGAATTCACGCACCAAAAGTTGGAGGACAATAAAGCAGATGAAAAGCAAAATTTGTTTTTGCCTTCTTGGGAAAAGATTCTTGAGACAATGACAAGGTAAAATAACTTTTATAGTACACCAATTTATATACATACATATATATATATATATATATATATATATATATATATATGGACTACAAATAATATCTCAAAAGAGAATAAAATTAGTTTAATTGAAAACATAATACAATATGTGTTGTACAAAATATCTGGTTGGGTTCGTGTCATTACACTGACAATAAGTGTGATGATACCAAATAATTATGAAACGATTGTTCAAAGTCAAGACGATATCACGGCATCAAAAATCAGTATTATCACACTCAATTCATAATTTGACCATAAAAAAAAAAAAAGCTAACAGTATATGCAAATAGGTCTCCTAGTAACTAAAAAATTAATAAAGAAAGGATGCAAGAAAGTAATCGTCGTCGTGCGGACTAATGACTTACAATTAATATTATTTTAATGATTAATAATACTGTATATAAATCATTATTAATATCTAATAATATAACACACGTTGGAAACTCATGTGCTTTGTAATTCTAATATAAAAGTTTAAAGTTCTGATTTACCGCCCAAGTGCTTCTGAATAAAACTATAATAATCTGATGCGAGGGGACTACGTCACGTTAATGATGTCATGTTAATGATATGCTTAGTGCGCATATGTTGATTTTGAAATCGTAACAACTTTTATAATTAACGTCAAATAAATGATAATCAAAGCAACAATAACAATAACAACCACAAAAATAATAATTATAATATAACTTTTATAAACCTCCGTGGTAAACAAATTTGGAATTCGCAATATATATATATTTTTTTTTAATCACCAAGAATATTCAAGTTAGTTTACACGTTTTTCAATTAATTTTCTAAAGTTTTGAAACTATTGGTCGGATGATAGTCTTAATAGTCACCCCTTATTAATGTTTGAGAGATTTGAATTCAGAAACTGATAAAGCCTATTTTGTTCTTTTATCATTTGACCTATCTCAGGTAGACAAAAATGTCATCTAAACTGAAAACTCATGATAAAGAAGCTATCAAGAGCAAATCCATGGCTGATGATCTTGCTCCAACTGAACCTCTTGATTCTGTCAAGATCATAAGTTCATAAGTGAAGATTCTGTCGAGATCAAAACTCCTAACATAAGCTTTCTAGAGTAAATCAATAAGTGAATATGTTGTAATGGAAATAAAAATTAATGCGTATGCAAATAGGTCTTTTAATAACTAAAAACAATAATAGAGAATAGATGCAAGAAACAAGGAAGTGTGATTTAACATCGCCTACATATTTATGAAGAAAAGTACATTTGTATGTTCCATCGAACGTAAATGGCATTCAAACATTAATGGATTACCTTGAGCCAAATTTAATTTTTTATATTTTATGTGGATGACGTATCCTTGTTCAGTTTTATCATTGAACCACAATTACAGTGATTTTCTTATCCAAGTGGTAACAGACCATTTGCTACAGTATACCATAAAAAAAAAAACTTTAAAGTATCATTTCAACCCATGTACCTCTAATAATTATTTTTTTTTTTTTTTTTTTTTTTTTTTTTAATACTAATCTGAAAACCCATGTGAATGTGGTCATAGAAAGACAAGTTGCCTTTAGAATAACTTGACGGTGCGGATTGTCATATAAATTAATCACATGCAATAACTTCATTAAGACAAACGAATTAAGCATAACAAAGGCATTCAAACAACTCAACAACTTACAATATAATTTTATAAAATAGGTCATATTATAATAACTTAATATTTTTACTTAAATTGAGATATAAATTATCAACCATGTATTTAGAACAATCCAATAGACTTGAAAGAAAAGTTGGAAATAGTTATTTTTTATTTAACCTCATCAGCTTTATAACTGTTGGATCATAATGAATTGATAACTACCCATTAATGTAAAAAATTTCAAATTGAATATTTAAGTTCATATAGCCATATATTTTACATTTAGAGATTACTTAAAAGCAAAAACACTTAAACTTTATATAGCAAATATTTAACGAGTGTATATTTTATATTATAAACTGAAAGCACATATGCTACCTTTGAAAATGGCAAAACTTCAACAATTAACATCAAACAATTAACATTTACTAATAGTTATTACACAACATAATATGAATATTAAAATAATAACTATAACAATTTCAAAGCGGCCGAGAGGGCTTGAATACAGAACTCAAAACATTGGCATCTTCATTACAAAACGCGAGTGTCAACATTTTTAGGCCTTAGCTCAATTCCCTCTATAATGACGCCATTATCGTTGAATCCCAAGAAATCAAATATGCACCAATTCACCCTTTCCACATCTCCATTTTCATTGAAGAACTCATCTATTTCAATCTCCATCCATCCATCATCACTGTCTTGAGATGGGCCCCCCCATATTTGTGACGAACACAGTATGCTTTTCCTGCTCTCTTCCTTCAAAACAAAAACTTAACTGTATAGGTCCTCTTTGTAAACCATCTCCAAACTCTGGAAACTTATACACAACGTAGACTCCATAGGTTGTCTTTGGCGACAAAATTTTAGTCTCTATCTTTACTTTGATTCCTATTCACCCCATAAAAATGGCTTCAAAGACTTCCAAAAACCTGAAAACAACAATAAAAACACAATGTTAATAACAACTGTTGGGTGTAGAAGCGATATGGACTGATATCACCGCTGTGCGGGAGTATATTTCTGATACACTATTTTGTCTTGGCCAATTCAAGATTCAACAAACCCGTAAAATGATCAATTGAAACTAATAAAGAAAGACACAGAATTTTACCGTAGTTCGGGATTGGAACAACATCATTTAGAGAGAGGCCAAAAAGAATTTCATTTTACGTACTAGGTAGTAAGAATTAATTTATATATGTGTGTGTGTGAACTTATATAACAAGAAACAAATGAAAAGAAGAAATTAACCTTGACTCTGGTCGATTTCGCCACATCTGATCGGTATGTCTACCTCTCCATGTAATGTAAAGCCCTGTTACACCAAACATGTAACATTTTTTTCCACTCTCTTTGTCCAGCGCAAAGCTCTGTGTCGAAGAATTAATCACAGACTTGATTAACTTTTCTATAATTATTGATCCAGATATGAATGTTAAGAACGATATATAGAAGTATATTTCCAGTCGGAAGAGAGGAATAAAATTTATTGCCTTAATTATATATGCTTATTTCTATAAATTAAATGAATTTTGCTTACCATAGTGCCCTTTTTTATGAGAATGGGATTATGACAAAGGTGGAAATAAAGATCCTTCTTAGAAAGGGAAACCAACAGTTCTGAGGAGGAGACCGAATCGGAAACGATCTCGTGATAATCGGATGGCAGTAATCTCTCCCAAACAGCGTCTGAATCTGTAGCTGATTTGAAGAGAGGAGACACCACTGACACTTTGCAGTTTGCATGCATCTCTAGGAGATGTAAGGGAGATGATTTGAGATAAGCACTCTTCAGGGAGAACCGCCGTGATATTCATTTCTTCTCTTTTCTTCCTCTTAGAGACTCATAACAAAAGCTAATGGCGTATTATTTAAGGGAAGACAAGACTTTGTTAAAAAGAATTTGTTGGCAAAGACTTGTCACAAGTCTAGTATAGTCACATATACAATTCAACTTGAAAACTACGGCTCTACCTTATTTTATTCTAGAAAATTAATTATTATTAGTATTATTTATCTCTTAAAATTTTTTATCCAAATTCATATTTTTTGTCTAATGATATTTGAAGATTAAAAATTAATTATAATAGATAAAGATATATAGAAGGAATAATGATTTCAATTTAAAGAGAAAAAAATAGAAAATTAGAGCACAATAGAATCTAAAATTTGGGTTGGAAATCTTATTGTGATAATGATCCAAAATCCCACTCAACCAAATTGGAAATAATTACAACTTGTGATGAGTTTGAATTGAAAAAAAAATTAAGGGCCTTATTTATTTATTTATATCGAATAATACTACACATACATCATTCTCATACAACATTTCTCATACAACATTATGTGGCAAGATATGATTAGGTAAAAATTTAATTTTAACTTTAAATTAACCAATTATATCTTACCACATAGTATTGTATGAAAAATGTTGTATGAGAATAATGTATGTGTAGTATTTCTCAAAACATTAACATTAAACAATATAATTTTAATGTTTCTAAAACTGCTTGATTAGCCCATAAAAGAATTCGAGTACTTAACCAAAGTAAAATTTATATAATTTTAGTACGAATTTTGTACCTAGGATCAGTTCCTTTCCAAATTGCAACTTCATAAAATTTAGGCTCCCTTTTTTTTGTTATTCCTATCCATATTCCCAATCCTATTCCCAAAATACTTGTTTGTTTTATTATTTGAGAAATATTATTTTATTTCTTTAATTACTTTAAAACCCCTTAAGTTTATTAATTTAATTAAACACCCACTAGAAAAAAGTTTAAAAATTAACAAAAACACCCCCACCCACCCATAGTTGCTAGATCATCTATCACAATGGCGTAGAAACAACTGGAAATGGACTGTAATTTACTGATCTGGCCAGAAAAGGCTAGATTTGGTCGTCAGTGACAGCCAAAGAAATGGCCGTCGTTGACGGTCAACGACGGCCAAATCTTGGCCATCGTTGCCTGACAACGATGGCCAAATCTTGGTCATCGTTGACCGACAACAACAATCATATCTTTGGCCGTCACTGACATCCAAATCTGGCCTTTTGCGGCTGTCGAAGGCTAGATCTGGCCTTTTTTGACTAGATCAGTGGTGGATATGGCCGAAAAAGGCCATATCAATGCACGACCGGCCAAATCCAACTGGTCTGTATCGTAACACTATTTTTCAGCCAGATTCTGACGGTGGTGGCTAGAATCTGGCACTGTGGGTGGGTGGGGGAGTTTTTGTCATTTTACAAAATTTTTATATATTGGGGTGTTTAGTTAAATTAGCAAACCTAAGAGGTTTTTTTTGTGAATTTTTAAATTTTACCTCGTAATACTCACCCTATTCAACTACCCAATATTATTCCTAAAATCTTATCCAAAATAACAAAACAAACGGATCCTATATAATTTTAAGAGCTAAATAATGAAGCCATTTTTTTTTTTTTTTTTTTTGGTCCTATTTGTTTTTTGGCGCTTACAAAACTATCTGAATATGTAGACAAGAAACAAAGAATATCGGGAGTCAAGAAATTTTCTTTCTTATGCAATTTGATAATCAACCCTGGAAATTTCAATCCACTAGACACTGGCGATTACTGATTACAAATTCTCTCAACCCAGGATTCTTTACCAATCCTTGATCTCATCTATTATGTATAATCCCATTACAAAAATAGATACATGATTGTTGAGAAGCTGATAATGAAAAAAAGAAAACCCAGAAAGACATTAATCTCAAACAACAGCAATATAGTTTTAATCGATAATATGTTTCTAAACAAAATTCAAAACCAACTTCTATACCATACAATTCGACACTTTCAAAAATCAAAACAAGCGTCAAATTGAACAGGCCAGCATTCAAACTGAAAGCATAACTAATGTCATAGTCCATTAGAACCACAACTGAGATAAAGTGTTCTAGCCTAAAAGGAATAACTCAAATTTAATCCAATAATGAAAGAAATACAATAGGAGGTAAAAGATTCAAAGTGCAAAGTACAAACAAATTCAAGATCAAGAGCTTCAGTAAACAAGGAAGAGAGAGCCGGTTGGAGGAGGATTGGAGTTCACAGAATGATCGGCGATGAGCGACACCAGAGATGGTGACAGTTAGAGTATGATATAGAGAGGGAAGAAAGGGCGGCGGCTTAATGAGAATGAATGAGATAGAAATAGAATAGAAAGAAAATAACCTAATTGTTTTTTTTCTACATTTTTTTTATTTTGCCAGGTCTAACTATCAGTGAATCATTGAAATTTGCATTGTTATGAGTTTGTAAGTATTATCAAATAACCCTTTTACCATTTATTATTTAAAACTTAATGGTAGAAGGGTTTCTATTATTTTTAAAACCTCAAAAAGATTTTTGTTGTTGTATGATACCGCAGGGAATTAATATCATTAACTCTTCAATAAACCCTAAACTATCCAGCCCACCACCAACTAATAAAATTGTCACGGTCGCACTCACCACAAACCACTTCTCGCCATCAAGTGAATCTCTCTCATCTCCCTTGCCACGAGTTTCTAGGCTTTCTGCTTCCTTTTCCATCTCTTCCAATTCCACAGATTACTCATGGTTTTTTCTTCTTCACTCTCTTCAACATCTTATTCTTTTTTGTTATACCTACTCCCAACAGATCAACCAAAAACAACCACAAAACTCCCAACAAAAAACAGAATCACACACACAACACACCAAGGTTTACCATGGTTCACTTGCTCGGATTTGAGCAAGCTACGTCCACATTGAGCTCGGGAAACCAGCGAGCTCGCTGTACTATATTGATCAAGATTGCAGAACACAACTTGACCAAAGAATTGAACCCTTTCCCAGATCTTTACAGAACCCGTAACACCCTAGAGATATAGATCTAACACCCAAGAAACACTGCAAACTCTAGCACCTTCAAGTGGCTTGCAAACCAGCCACTCAACACTCTGTTACAAGATTCAAGATCAAAACTATACCCAAACCCTAAAGGAGGTAGTTCGTTTTATAGAGAAAGAGAAAAACACGAAAATAGGTTCAATTTGTTTGGAAGGGACTGTTGCACTGCTTTTATACTATTGACTATCAGACTGATTTGCCACCGTTGGATTCTCAGCCAACCAACAAACAGGATTGATCTTAACTTGGCTCAAAACAACGTCGTCTCACTTAATGATAAAACGTCACTGTCTAAAGCCATCACCCTAACAATCTCCACCTTGATGGGTTTATTAGTGACTGTAGCACAGCTTGCTCTTTATGGGATCCTTCATTGCTCTGGTCACTCTGGTTTACTGAATGGATAACAAGTTCAAGCAGTGCTTGAACTTGGTATGAGTGACTGTCTTTGTACCCATGTCTGCTGGATTTTCTTCGTTTGAAACCTTTAGCAGTGCAATCTCATCTCTTGAGATCAGGTCTCTCACAAAGTGATATCTTACATCTATGTGCTTGGTACGTTCATGGTACACTAGATTCTTGCTTAAATGTATTGCACTCTGACTGTCAGAAAAGATTACAGGCCTCTGACTTGTTAACTTGGCTTCATTGAGAATTACTTTTAGCTAGATGGCTTCTTTGAGTATGTCAGCAACAGCCACATATTCAGCCTTAATAGTGGATAATGCAACTATCGGCTATAACTGGGATTTTCAGCTGATGCAGTTGCCTCCCAAAGTGAAGTAGTATGCAGTGGTTGATTTCCTGGTGTCTCTATCACCTGCAAAGTCTACATCTACAAACCCAACCAACTCAAGTGACGCAGTTCCTTTACAGTAATGCAGTCCAACATTTAAAGTAGCATTTACATATTTCAGAACCCATTTTAAAGCAATCTAGTGATCCATACCAGGGTTAGACATATACCTAATGAGTAAGGAGATTAGAAAGGCTAAGTCAGGCCTTGTGCTAATCATGGCATACATAAGAGATCCTATCACATTTGCATATGGCATATGGCATATGTTCCATCCTAATCATTTCAGGTTCAGTTTAAGACACTGTGATTTACTCAGTGTGAAGTGACTGGCCAGTGGGATTGTAACAGGTTTTGCATCTGCCATGCCAAATTTTTCTACAAGTTTGTACAGATATGAACACTGGTGACTCTCAGCTCATATTTGTGCTTATTTTTGTCAATTTGCATTCCTAGGATCTTCTTTGCATTTCCTAAATCTTTCATTTCAAACTCAGCACTCAATTTTTCCTTTAATTCACAAATCAAGGGCTTAGACTTTCTAATTATTAGCATGTTATCCACATACAATGGTAATTACACAAGCAGGTTATCACTTAGGGCAAAATAAAAACAGTTATCATATTTACTCTTAGTGAATCATATACTCACAATGAATGTGTCAAATCTTTTATACCATTGTCTGGGGGATTGTTTTAGGCCGTATAAAGATTTGAGAAAGAGGCAAACATGGTCAGGGGTCTATGGATCTATAAATCCTACAGGCTGGTTCATATAGATCTCTTCCTGAAGATCCCCATGGAGGAAGGCAGTAGTCACATCTAATTGTTCAAGCTCTAAATCTAGATGAGCTACTATGGAGAACATTAATCTAATTGTTTTATACTTAACCACTAGGGAAAAGACTTCATTGAAGTCTATTCCCTCTCTTTGGGTGAAGCCCTTGGCTACTAATCTAGCCTTATACCTGAGTGGTTCTCTGGTTGTTGCTCCATCCTTCAATTTGAACAGCCATTTACATTGGACTACCTTCTGCACTTTTGGCTTTGGTACAAGAACCCAAGTTTTGTTCACCTTTAGAGACTTCATCTCAGCTTCCATGGTAGCCTTCCATTTATCCTTTTCCT